TTATGTTGGTAAATAAGTTGTGAATTTCTTATTTCAGGTTTAGTTTTCTAAATGTTCTTCCAACAGGTAGACTTTATGCTGTATCGCTTGGTGAGGATTTTATTACCGAGTGTGTGGTTGTTTTTTTTAATCAATAATCTCCACCATTGAGCTAGAAAAGCAAAGATCCCCAAACACAGATATGTGCCTTCTTGGAGATTAGAAGGGCTGTAAGGAGGAGGAACAGGGTTTGTTCCTGCAGAAATATCTATTAAGTATTTCAATGGCTGTGGATTTGGAAGAAATCCAAAAATTACAGCAGGAAGTTGAAGTCATTCTTTTTCCTTTGCCGGGTAGTGTACAAAGATTTTTATCTCAATAAATCAAGAGAGACTAACAAATTTAGTCACTGCAACTGTAGTTAAGTAGCTTGCTCAATGTAGCTTCCCAGACAGGTGAAGGCTGGGGATTAGGATAGGGACTAGACCTGGAATAAAATCAATCTAGGCAATCTCTCTGGCTGTCCCCCATCCCCAGAATGCTCACCCTCCTTCACTCTGACTACTGACCTCCTTAGCTTCCAGGAAGCCCCAACTAAAATGCTACCTTCTACAGGAAGCCTTCCCTAACGTCTCTTAATTCCTGTGTTTTCTCTTTCAATTATTTCCTATTTATTCTGCATATAGCTTAATTTGTATATATTTATTTTCATGTCAATACCCCCCCAATTAGTTTTTTAAGTTCCTCGAGGGCACAGACTATCTTTTGCCTCTTTTTGAATCTCCAGAACTTGACAGTGCTTGGCACATAGATGCTTAATGTTTTTCTGTATTGAAATTAATTAGTAAAAGGAATACTCTGGGGTGGAAACTCCTTCTACCAATGCAGATAGGCTCCTTCTCTGAAACGAATAGAATTCTCTAAAGAGTACCTTAATGTACTGAGAGGTCAAGTGCCTTGCCCAAGGTCACCTAGCCAGTAGGTAGGTCTTGATGCCAGGGCTTCCTGGTGTCCAGGCAAGTTCTCTATTATGTCATGATGCCTCTCACATTTTCCTAGATAATGATTTACATTTTCCCCTGGAAATAGAGGAAAGAAAAATAAACTCTGCTTAAAGTAGACATCTCAGGGGCTGTTGTGATTCTGTTAATTTTTGTTCCTTGTTGTCAATGGAAAGCCATAATTTGTTTTATTTTACGTATGAGACCAGGGTAGTGACCAATAATACATCAATCAGATACTTTGTCAGGAATCATCTTTACTTCTTCCTTAAACCTATACAAATCTATTTTTGAGGACTTAGTATTAAGGAATTCCTTACTAGGATTCCGGAGTGGAGTAAAAGTTTAATAATAAACAGAGCAACTCCAATCTTAAAATAGTGCATTATGGCAGACTGCAACCAATAGATCATATAAACATCTACTATGCATGTGCCAGGCACTTTGTGAAGCACTAGGATGGCAAAGAAATGCAAAAGGCAATTTCTGCTCTCAAAAAACTTGCAGTCTAATGGAGGTGAAAATGAAAACAATTTTATACAAGATAAACTGAGGATATTCTCAGACAGAATTCACTAGCATTAAAGGTTACTGGGAAAGTCCTCTTACAAAAGGTGGGATTTTAGCTGAGACATAAAGAAGTCAGGGAAGCCAGGAGGGAGAGAGTTTTGGCACAGAGGACAGCCAGGGAAAACACTCATCAGAAGACGAAATGCTTTCGGGGGTGGAGGGGAGTCACAAAAAGATCAGCATCACTGAATCACAAAGTGAATAGATAAGAGAAAGGTTTAAAAAGACTGAAAAACAGGAAAGGGCCATGTTAGGTTCCACCCACCATTTTTTCCCCCGATGCCTTGCCCCTGAGTCCAAAAACCATGCCATAAGGACATCCAGCTACTTGTATCATTCTCTTTCCAGTTCTGGAACACTAATCAAATTAACACTAACATTACTACTGTTTACTGCTACCATGATGGTGCAAGACTTCATCACTTCATGCCTGCTGTTCCTCACAAAAGGAACTCCATTTCCCAACCCAAAGTCTTTTCACTGGCTGTCCCTCATGCCTCGAACTCTTTTCTTCCTCTTTTCTGCTTCTCGGCTCCCATGACTTGCTGCGAATCCCAGCTAAAGTCCCAGCTTCTAAAGAAGCCTTTCCAGGTCTTCCTTAATCTTAGGTGCCCTCCTGAGACTATCTCCAATGCTTAGTTACATACATATACATACAAACACACACATTCTCTCTCTCCCCCCTCCCAAGTCACCATTCCCTTCTATGTGTTCTCTCTCCCCTCTAATAGAATGTAAGTTTCTTGAGGAACAGGGGCTTTCTTCGTCTTTATTTCTATCTCCAGGAGGGCATAAAAATCCCTATAAATATTGATAGATGGTACATAGTAAGCATTTATTGATATTTTTAAATTTGATTCATTCACCTATCTAATAATCTCCTCTATTTTTAGATGAGGAAATTTGAGACCCAGGATGGTGGAATTACTGCTGCAAAATGAGACAAGTCTCAACTTTCAGAGTTAGGATCTGAACCAAAGCCCCCCTCTCTCCAAAGGAAGTATTCTTTTTCTGTATAACACTGCCTCTTTTAAATGGATTTTTTTTTGGTTCAGAATTTCAAGAGCTAAAATTTCTAGTACTAATGAATACAAATAGTACAAGAAATTCCAATATTTTCTCCCACAAATGCTGTTCATTTTCATGTAAAACCTGAAAACTCGTCCCCATGCTCAATCATCAATAGCCCATTATCCTCTTAATTATATCTGGCATAAATTTTAATTATGTGTTTGTAAAGAAAATGAAACTTTACATTAGTTACCCTCTTCTTTCAATCAATCCTTTCAATCAATCATTGAGTGCGTAAAAATATCACATGAAAATATAAAACAAAATAAAACAAACTGCTATTTTTCAAAAAAGAGAAGGCATAACCAAAGATAACAAACCAAAGATAACAGAGCCTTGTTCTTTCCATGGGGAGAATGAAACCATTTTATTTGGGGGGGAATGTTAAAACAAAGCCATATACAATTTGTACCAAATACAATATAACTGTTTGTTCCCTATTTCTGAATAATTACAGTATATACAGATTCATTAAGGCACTGGTTCCCCAAAAGAATACAAATGAGTCTTCTTTTGAAACAAATTTAAAAAAAAAAAAAACTTTTACAAAGCCACGAAGCTTTCTCCAAAAGAAATGGCATTGCTTATTACAGGAGAAATCACAAGTGCTAAATGTCACCTCTTCCGATGTCCTTTCCCAGACTCCAACTTCTATACCACTGAATTCCCTACACACCTGTAACTTAAATTACATCGTCAAGTTTTCAAAATCACCCTTCTCTTAGTACCTTTGCACATACCCTCCAATAAAAAGGTGTACTGGAAAATACTCAGAACATAAAACATGGCTGTTTCTAATTGAACACATAGAAAAAGGGTCTTCAGTCGCTGAAATGTAGTTATCATCCCCAACTAGTCGCAATTTCGATGAAAGTGTTAAACAAAGCTGACCTCGGCACCAGCAAACTGAATCTGTGAGCACTGTACAACGCTGCCTCCCTCAGGTATTACAAAGAAAGGGATGGTCATTAAGGCTTGTCATATTACTGTTTTGTTTTGGTTTTTTTCCTGAAAGGCCAAAGGTCTTATTTCTTCATAAACTTTTTTTTGGAGAATCGCAACTTAAAATTTAACAATCTATGTATTATCATAAATAAATATTATGCTTTATTTAGTGCTTTATCATCCATAATATCTTACTCCCTAATCCACATACTGGAGTTATTCCAGACTCCAAATTAAACATAATATATATTTATACACACACACGCACACACACACACACATACAAACACACATAAACCTGAACATCTTAACACACAAACATTACATTATCTACCAACTGATATCCTAGTATCCCTTCTTTATTGGGGAGGGGGAGAAAGTTTAAATTAGTTTGTAATTAAGAATAATCCTGAAAGTAAACAATCAACTGATAGAAACATTGTCCAGGTTACTCCCTCTTCCTCTGTATAACAACATTTGCCCAGTTACTAGATTTTTCATAAAAATAAAAATAAAATTATTCTTTCCTACAGCATTTTGTAAGTAGTCTGATTTTTAAAAACAATTCCTGTAAATATAGTTTTTGTAACAAAGTGGAAGAATTACTTATAAATGGCTATTATAAACTTTTACATAAGATAAGCTTGAATTGGTCTTTTCTTTAGTACCTAATTAATATCTTAATACTTTTTATAGTGATTGAGGTTGGTGATTAAAAAGGTAACTATGATTTGTCTCCATTCAACAGAGGAAATAATACGTCCAATTTGGGGGCAGTAATTAGTTATTCCCTGTTGCTATTTTTATTAGGAACTCTGGAATAAACACCTAAATCCACTTTCTAATTTCTTCAGCACTTCAAATGACTCATGATTTCAGGGGATTTAAGTGATCTGAAAGTGAGTTTGAGTTTTCATTTGAGAGAAATTATTCTGGCTTTGATTCTAAGGTGACTTAAGAGTTGATCAGGAAGGACATAAAAGACATTTCTTCAGAGAAATAACAGAGGTTTAATTTGGGAAAGACCTGAGTAATTCATGTGCTGTGGCCAGAAAGCCCCTACACAAATACTTCACTGTTTGACTGCCACAACCAACACATTTGTCTCTGAACAACTTGGCTTTCACATATAAAGGTTCTCTGCAAATTAGACATATATTAACCTCAATGTAAGTTAACCTGTTCTGACACAATGAACAGAATACTCTCACAAAAAAAAAAGGAAAATGTACTTTATCATATGCTAACATCTGGCATTTTAGTTTTTACTGAGTTTATTTTAGTTATGACTAAAGCAGCATTTAGATCTTACATTTTATTCAAAACCAAACTATCCACAGCCTCCTCTTTAAAAAAAAAAAGAGGAAGAAAAACATCAGCAGTGAAAAGAAGTACTTCTTCCCAGCTGTGATAAAATCTTGATGGAGAGCGCAGAACAATGAATTACAAAATATTGAACATAGTGCAATGCCACCAGCATGTAAGCAGACCTCACAGCTACTTTTGGAAGATTTATTTTCTGGAAGAAACAAATCATGAGCTGTAGAAAAAAAAAAATTCTCTTTGATTTTTTAAGCAGTTGCCAAGTTTTTAGAAATCTTTTGTCTCTGTGAAGCCCCTGGCGAATACCTCTACGGCATGACATCACACTGCCCCCTAGAGCTTCTTGGGATGGCTGTCTTAGAAGATGGCTAAAACCCTAGGACTTTACCATTTCTCCCAATTATTCTCTTTCTAAGAAAATCATGGAAAGAGAGAATTCTGATGAGTTGGGGAGGATGGCTAAAACTTAATTTTAGAAAGCTCTACTGGCTTTTTTCTGAGAAGTACTGGCTCTGATAATGACATTATTCATGGAACTCAAAAGATAAAGACCCCAAAGTTTCGGAGACGATTTGTAAATGGAAAAATGCCTTAGGAAGAAATAAATTAAAAAGTGAACCGCACCTCAACAGATTAAAACAATTAAAATAAAATAAACCAGGGCAACATTCTGAATGTGAAGTTAAAAATAACTATAATATCCCCTGGGATGTAGAAAAAAATATACATGTACCAAAGGAAGAAATCCCAGCAGCCATCATATTGGGGGCATTCCTAAGTTTTCTGCTATCCCTTTGGAAGACTGTATTTCTATACTTCTAGATGGAATCCCATTAATTTAACTCCACAAACTCCTCCCTGGCTACTCCCTCCCCTTACTGATAAGAAATACACCATGTGAGACATTCATTCTTGTGCTTCTAGGTTTGGCTCTTATACACATATAAAGAAACAGCATATTTGCTCTGCCTTCTCAACAACAAAGAGTAAAATCTCCCTTCCAATGCACCTTCTCTTCATTCGAGTTTCACTTACTATTGATCTTTCCTGCAGGGAGAACTAAATTTGCACTGAAGTATTCAGCCACTTCCACAATTAAAATAAAATAAAATAAAAATCTTCGTTTGGGTTTAATGAAAAGAGGGTGCTTTTGTTAGTAATTGCCTAACAGAATCAGAAACCTGAGGAGGGTTTTATTCTGAACAATAACAATGCCACTTATTTACTTTGCCTCAATACCTACAAATTACATTGATGTAATGGTTTCATAATCTATGAAACTGCCGAAGACCATCTGCAGATATGTGAAAACGTGGTCACTCATCAGCTGGGGACGCTGACCTGGGCAAGAGAAATCCCCACATCTGGTGCTAGGCAAAGTGGTCTTTGGAGGCAGGAGACAGGTGGCTTTTAAGATATATTACAACTTCTCAAACCTCACGGACTCTTTTTAGGTTTGCTTGGAATGCCATATTCTCACAAATGGAAAATAAAGTGATTCTGTTTTTCCCTGCAGGCATCATTTTTGGATAACTGTCCTTCATGTTTTATTTGAACTGCAACAGTATATGTGTTTACAACTGTGTTTTATTTTGAAAAAAAAAATTAAAGTATTTTTTTTTCTTTAAAAATCCCCAAATACAAGACTTTCACAGAAAGCAACAAGTATCATTTTTGCATCAGTTACCCAAGTGGTCTTCCCTTCCTGCAAACAGGCCCCTCGAGCCTGTGATTGGCAATGTCGCTCTCTGTCCAGGGTTATCCCTGAGAGCAAGCGGCCTGATCCTGCTCAGGAGCAGAATGTTATTCAAGATTTGTACTATGGAAACATCTTTAACATCTTCTGCTTTACCAACAAAAGGAAAAATACGTGTTGGCCATCTCCAGATGTTTACTTTCTTCCTTCAATCAGAGTTTAATGTCCTGTGACTCTGACATTTTGGCAAGGGTTTTCTTAACCCGCAGGGCTGTGAGACGTGATGCAGGATTGTGGGCCCAGCATTCTGTCATGAGTTTCCCCATCTGCCGCAGACACTGTGGGGAAAGAAATGGGAATATTAGAGCACAATTAGGAGAATGTGCTATGATCAACAGGGTTATTTCTTAGACTCTGAAGTTTTGAGTATGAAAAAAAAGATATTTCTCCTTTAAACTATATAGGTACAAAAATCCTCAGTTCCATTTTGATTCAAGATTAAAGGATTAATGCAAAGCTTTCATGTCATTCACGTCGTGATAGATCCAGACAGGTGATTTTGCTGCCTACAGCATATTGGCTTTGTAACGCAGTGTTAAACAAATATAAAAATATTCAGGGAATTTGTTTGGTTCAACGGCATACTCCCAGATTGTTTACAACACTTTCTAAGTTTAACTCTTTTTGTCTAATTGCAT